TCATCTTTTTTTTTTTTCTCATTATTATCGAAGAGAGAGAGAGAGAGAGAGAGAGAGAGAGAGAGAGTTGGTTGATGCTTTGCTTTGAGGCTTTTTTTTGAAAGTTTTTTTCTTAAAAAAAATCTGTAATGTGATATAAGTGGAATTATTATTATATATTTAAGGGGGTAGTTTATGACAACTTTACTTTCTTTTAGTGTGTTTAGTGTGTACTTTCATTTGTTGTTGATGGATTGAATCAATTGTTGTTGTTGTTACATTATAAACTCTCTTATTAGATTCTTTTGTATGTGTTCAATATATTCTCTCTCTCTCTCACACTGAAACATTATTATTATGATTGTAACTGTGAACCATCATTATTATTATCATCATTTTCATTCGGACAATCCAATGTGTCCATTATTTTTGGTGTGTGTTTGTATATTTGTCCTATGTGTAATGGTGGCCAATGTATATCATACAAGGCTACATACATTTATCTCGATTTTCGATTATCTGAATACGAGAATCTTTAAAGATAGTTTTGTTTTCGATTACATTTTTGCGTCGAATAATGTTATTAATTTCATTTCATTTTTTTTCTGTTGCCGATTTAATCGAAATCTTTTTTTTTTATTTTCTTTGATTGTGTGTATGTGTAATACGTGATCATAATAATCATGAACAATCATAACGGGAAGAAAAATTCCTTCACCCCTTATATATTAATTCAATTATATATCGGATATGATTTTATAATCATTATTATCAACAATTTATAAATCTATATGTAATGACATAGCCGAGTTGTATGCAATCATACCATACAACTATGTTTGAAGCCAAATTTAAGGGGAAAATTTTTTTTAAAGCTATTTTTATTGTTATAACAAAAATGAAAAATTGTCAAATCGAATCAATTTCGATATTTTATACTTATTCAAATTTTTTTTTTTCAAATGTTTGACATTTTTTTTTCTGTTTATTTGTTTGTTTGAAATATCCATTGATTCATTGTTATCCGGAGCAAAAAGAAATTTAATTTTCTCATTTTTTCACTACCCACACACACCACAAACTCTTTCCAAAATAATTTTCATTTTTTTTACCCCCCCCCCAGTTGACAATCTTTGTTTATCTTTTGATATATATCGTATAAACGTGTTTTTTGGCTAAAAAAAGTAAAGAAAGGATAATATTGGAAAGAATTATTATCAGGGAATTTTTTTTTCATTTCTATTTTGCATCAATGACTTTCATCATCATCATCATCATCAAAGATTTGACATTGATTTTGTTGAATTTTTGAACAAAACATTTTTGAAGAACATTTGTCGATTGGTTCATTGATCGATTCGATTCAATTGAACAAAAATAGAAATGAATAGAAAAAAAAAACATTCTGTATCAATGATAATGATGATAATAATCGAAAATGTTTGGAAAAACGAATCTATTTTGCATCCATTCATGTTTGGCAATAATGTTGCTTGATTTCACCCCTTCCCCAAAAAAAAGAACGAAATTCTTCTTCATCATTGCAAACATTTGCCATCAAGTGAAATAAATAAATTGTAGAGTTTTTTTCGGTTCCCAGAATATATATGGTGATTTTTTTTTCTTTTTTGGACGTCACTTTTCGATATGTATACAAAACTTTGAATGATCACGATGATGATGATAGACGAAATTGGTCGTCAAAAAAAAAAATTAGGATGATGATGTGAAAATGTAGTTTTGAAACTGAAACAAAAAAAAATGAAACTTTCTCTCTCTCTCTCTCTCTCTCTCTCTCTCTCTCTCTCTTGATGTCATCGTTGTTGACAGATTGTCCTTTTTTTTGTTTCCCATGAATTTTTCATTGCAAACATTATGATGATGATGATACCAAATAATATCCACTTATTTGAAGTGGAAATATCTAAGTTTATTTGGAGAAAAATATGAATTTTCAAATGCAAAAATCTCAATGATCGAGAGAGAGAGAAGTGATAGTTGAGAAGAGGAAAAGTTGTGCTGGCCCCTATACTACCAGCCATTAATCATCATCATCATCAGGATTTAAGGTGATTTTGTTCATCGTTTGCACCCCCCTCCACACAATTGATATTTCAAAATGTTTCATTGAATGAAATGAAAAAAAAGAATCACTTTCATTGAACAAACAAACAGAATGAAAAAAATCAATCATAATAATGATTTTGATCAACGAATATTTTTTCATTTTCATTTACATTTTCATTGAAATCAAATATTTCATTTTACAATCGATCGATTCTTTAATTCTTTACGTTTCTGATTGATTTCTCACTCTCTGTGTGTGTCTGTGTTTGTTTGTTTGTCGAAATTTAAAATGCACGAAAACAACAACAACGATATTGGTTGATTGAAAGTTATTTTCTCCAGTTTCCTTTTACGGAAAGAAACATTTACTGTCAATCTGTTCTGCTCCTGTTTTGTTATTCTGAAAAATTCACAATTTAAATTCATTTGCAATGCTAAAAGAAAATTCAATTTGGAGACAAATTTCAGAAAAAAACAGCAAGAATTAATTTGATTGTCACATGCCCAAATACACACACAGACACACGCAAAAACAGTCACAAATCATGTAATTTATTTGAGCTTTTTTATTTGTAATTTTTCTGATTCGATTCATTTGATTCTCTCTTTTTTTTCTGGTGGTTCAGAATTATCTATTTCGGGATATTAAGTGAAATGAAAAAACTAATGATCCTCTTCTTCAATGATCTTAGTTTAATTTTATTTTTTTTCTTTGGGAAAAAAACCAATTGATAAGGCTAATAATTCATAAATGATCAATGTGATCTGAATTGAATGAATGAATGAAAAACTAATGACGAAAAAATATTAAATCTCATAAAAATCATGAAGAAATGAAGATGAAAATGTGAAAGCAAAACATCATACAAATTGAAATGAAATGAACTGATTGATGGCCATGTTGTTTATAGATTGTTAGTGTTTAGTTTGAAATATAAAAAAATTTTCAATTTATAAATCAATCATGTTTACGAGACGAAAGAAATATTCACTTAAGAATATTTTTTGCTTGTTTTGTTTTTCATTTATTTGGATTTGATTTGATTGCAAATATAAAGATTTTTTTATCCAAAAAAAAAAAACAGAAAAAAATTCTTTGCTCAAATGAAATTGTTTGTTCATCACTCTATAGTCACACACACACAATCATCATTTCCTTTTTTTTCTTTTTCTTCTGATCATGGAAATCATTACTAAAACAAAAAAAAAACAGCAATGAATTGGTTTGTCAATTTCTTTCCATCTTTCTATCTATCTATCTCTTCGCAAACTAACAAACAAACAAGCGAATGCATGAAACAAACAAGCAACAACAATTCTTTCAAAAACAATTCTTTCAAAAAACATTCTTTGAAGAACATTCTTTTGAAAACATTCCATCTCTCTCACTATCTCTATTAGATTATCCTTTATTCTTGGATTCCAAAATTTCCTTTATCAACATGAATTTTCGGTTTTCTTTTGTTTTTATTCGTTGAAAAATTGATTAATTATTATAACAATTCTTTATTGATTTTGTTTGTTTGTTTGTCGTTTGTTTATTGTTTTCAATGTTTTCAACAACATGCAATTATGGTGATGAGAATGAATTTTTATTTCAACAAGAAAAAGAAAATGAAAATTGTCAATTTCAATTTCAAATTCTTGACACGTATTCTATGAAAAGTTTTCTGTTTTACTCGAATTCGATTCAAGATGGTTATCAAAGAGAAAATAGGATAAGATAAGTTCATTTGAAATCACTTATTACAATCAATTTTTTTTGAGAGAAAAAACCCACTGTATCATCCAGTTTCCATTGGAGTTTTTCAAATGGAAAAGTATTTCGGAGAACCATCAAAAGATTTTTTTTTCGAGTGTTTTTCTCGTAAATGTTGACCGAGTAATCCACATTTCGAATCGTACAAACGAAAAAAAAGGGATTAAGAATTTGATCCAAAAATAGAGAGATAAACGAGGCAACCAAACTTTTTCTTCTTTCTAAAGTAATGTCTTTAATGATTCTTCAGTTCGATTAATGATTACAATGTGTATGTTTGGTGTGTGGTACATTGTCAATGATAATAATAATGATGATGTTTGGTGGTGATTGAAGCAGAAAAAATCTTCTTCGCTATTTTTCCAAAAATGAAGATTCATTGGATATATCATTGGAGAATTATTAATGCGAACAAAAAAAAAACAAGCAAAACAAACAAAATTGTTTACAAGATGAAAATAAATTAAAGAAAGAAAGAATTTGTTTTGGTTTTTTGTTTGTTCAAACTGAATTTACTTTGGATTTTTTTTTTATTTGGCTAAAATTGTTGCTATCTTCCATTGAGATACTCTCACTGGATGAAATTGAAATCATTTTTCTCTTCCTCAGAATTCCTTAGATTTTTTTTTTACCATGGTGATTTCAAACCTTCCTACCATCTCAAGAGAAAGGGAAAAAAACAACCACGACGTTTACGTCAATCTGAATCTGTCTGTTTTGAGTGAAATTCATCAAAGTCTCTGATATTCAAGAATTCTTTGGAAAATCAAGATTCAAATATTGCATGTTTGGGCACAAACAGACATATGAATTTTTCCCAATTGAAAGGCGTATATCTTCCATTGGGAAAAGATTTTCGGTTCCTCATTCATGATGTTTTGTTTGTTTGTTTGTTTGTCTCATCAATAACTAATAATTTTCTAATTTCAAATTTTCGATTTTTTCCTTTTCTCCAAAAAAACAAATATAGCTGCTGTTGTTGCTGCATTTTTCATTTGTTTTGCTCCATTTCATGCACAACGTTTAATGGCAATTTATGTTAAAAATCCATCCGATTATGAAACAATTGCATTCACTTTATTAACATATATTTCTGGTGTTACTTATTATCTAAGTGCAACAATTAATCCAAGTAAGTTTTTTTTATTTTGATCAATTTTTAACCCTTTGACTAATAAATGAAAAATTTCTATTTCTATTTTCTCTTCCAACGAAAAAGTACTATATTCAATAATGTCTGTACGTTTTCGTCAAGCATTTCATGATACATTTGTACGAACATTTTGTTCATCCGTTTCAAATCAATTCAATGATCATCATAATCATAATCGTGGTCAAATGTATTGTTCAACTTATAGTCATCATCATTCGTATCATCAACAACAACAACAACAACAAAAACAACATCAAAAATCAATAATAAGTGATCGTGAAAAATCAATAATAATTAATAATAATCGTCAAACAACAATTACAATTGGAAAACAAACAACCAAAACAATACCAAAAAATGGAATAACACCAATCGATGATGATCATAATCGATCATAATCGATAATAATAATCCATATCTGAACAAAAAATGATTGAAACATTGTATAAACAAAAAAAAAATTTTTTTTAACAAACTTTTTTTTCTTCTCTTTATCTATCTACCTTTTTTGTTGTTTTTTTTTTTGATTAAATCTTTTTTTTTTCATTTCAATTCATTAAATCAAACTGAATTAATTAATTTAGTAATAATTTGTTCATTACGAAATACATTCGATTTTGTTATACGAATTTGTTCGGAAAAATCATCACATTGTCGTTCAATTTGTTCCAATTCTTTTCTTAATGGTTCTAAATCATTATTCATTTCGGAACGAATTTTCATTATAATTTTATTATTAGTTTCATATTCTGTTTTCCATTTGGTTAATTCATCCAACATTGGTTCAACATCTTCATGTAAATAATTCATTGCTTTTGTTAATGTACCAATCGATTGACATAATGATTGTATTTGATTTTTTAATTGATTTGTATCATTAATCATTGGTTGTTTGTTGCTGTTGTTGGAATCCAAATGATTAGAATCCTTTATTTGTCCTTCAAGTTCTGTTTTTGTTGCCATTAATTGCTGCACAAGATGACCTTTACTTTTAGATTCTTCCGTTTGATTTACATCATTATTATTATTATCGGTAATTTGATCTAAATTATTTGAATCTGATGTCAAAAATGAATCTTGAAGTTTTTGTGAACTAATTAAAAATTCATCCATTTCATCATCAACAGTTTCGGGTATCCAAATATTTGAATTTATGGTTGTTGTTGTTTCGGTTCCAAATTGTTCGGTACGATTTTCCATTAATTGACTTAATCGTGATCTTGATGCTGTCATTACTCTTGGTGGTGCTGGCCTAGAGCTTTTTGGTCTTGCCGATCTAATTGATGTTGATGCACTGGATTTTATACGATTATTATTATCGACCATTGATTTTATCATCATCGTTTCATTGACGTCATTTTTTAAATCTTTTCTTAGAATTGTTGATGATTTTTCACGATGATTTTTCGGCCGATTCGATTGAATTTGTTTATTTTTATCATCATCATCATCATCGTTATTATTATTAATTGCCTTATTTGATAATGATTCATTTGATTTTAGATGAAAATCATTATCGACCGGAGGCTCTATTTGTTTTAATGAAGCTATTAAATCTTCATCATTATTATCATCAATTTGAATATTATTATCATTAACAATCGATTGTTTTGATCGATTGTTTTCCATCGATTCGAATGTTTTGTTCGAATTCTTTTCACTACCGTTCTTATTCATTTGATTATCGTTAATGATGATGGGCAAATCTTCATCCATAATTTGTTTTCCATTTTTTATCAATTGATTACCATTATCTAATGATGATAATTGTTGTTCTAGGGCATCATCAAGATCATCTTGCACAGCCGGTGTTGTTTCGATGACAGAATGATCATCTTTTTCCTGTACTTTCTTTTCATCACGATTCTGAATGTCTGTTTTGGTTGTCGTTGATGGACGACGATTACTATTGTAATTTATGGTGTCAATATCCAATCCTGAATCAATGGTAAGTTCTTCCGAATTTTCTTCTTTTACATCATCAACCTTACTTGTATTCATTTCATCGATATTATCTTCTTCTTTGATATTCGATTTATCGATTTCATTTTTTGATGAATCGCTTGATTTGACGGATGTTGATTTTTTTATTTCTTGTTGATTTGTTTGTTTAACTTTATCAGCCACAGTAGCTTTAGTTGTTTGCTTAGTAGATTTTGTTTTCGTATTTTTTGATTTGATTTCTCCATCACTTTGTTTATCTGCCATAACAGCTTTTGTTGTTTTTTCTTTATTATTGTCCACCTTATCGATTTTATTCTTTGGTCCTTTACGAACCTTTTCCACTGATTCTAAAAACGGTTTCTTATCCAAAACACATTTAGCAAATTCATTGAGAAGTTTATTAGTTTTTTCCACTTCAACTCCTGCAACAATTTTAGCTGATTTACAATCGATTGGTTTACCATTGATAAAACCTTTTGTGAAAATAAATCAAAAAAAAAAAATTGATTGACATTAACTTTAATGTCATCATTTAGACTGATATTACCAATCACATCGATTAGTTTGTCCAGAAAAGCCATTTTTGTCTCTTTATTCACGTTGACATTATCAAAATTGAATTCCTCTTCACTATAAAGGCCACGAAGATATCCAGTTGTTTTGATAATCTTTATTTTTTTACAAAACAAAAATCATTAGTTTAGAATCAAAGCTAACAAACAATATTTTTGCAAACCATTGTAGTCAGATCGAATATAAATCGAAATGGTGGACGTGATAATATCTTTTCAGTGACAGCAGGTCTTTTAACTATTTTACTCAATTGATCAATGTTTGATTTAATCAAACGTTGATTGATTTTTTCTTGAGACATTTTTTCGTTATTCTCTTTTTTTACGAATTAAATTGTCAAAAATTGTATGTCGTATTGTTTTGTTTTTGTTTTGATTTGTCATTATTTTTTTTCATTTTTCCTATTCTCGATATATTCTACAGGGTTTCCATGGCGCCAGCTCTTCATCATATAAATAAAAAACTTTCAAAAATTCTTGTCACCTTATATACGGATGAACAAATCCCTTTAACAATTCTCCATGTGATTGTCAGATCAAAACTCGAATTAAAAACTTGTTAAACATTTTTGGCATCTGGTCTTGTTTATCATATTGTAGCAGATTTTAAAACAAGAAAAAAAATTAATTGTACAAGAAGTTTGGCAACATTATTCAACATGAGCGGTATGTATATAACTAAGCATTAATCCTATTTTTCTTAATCATTCTATATGATACCACAGGACTAAAAATAGTTGTTTTTCAACTTTTACAACTATTTTAGCATCAATATCCACGTTGATTCCCGAATCATCTCGAATTTTTATGCTCATTCTCGAATGCCACTGATGCCCGAAAATTTTATATATAAAGATCTTGAATCGTATTCTGATTTAATTTTTGAAATTTCATTTGCAAAATTTTATCAAATCGTGAATAATATTTTCAAACAATGTCTGACAAAGAATCATTGTGGAAACGATGTCGTCAAATGGAAGCACAGGAAAATTTTGGTGAAGCTTTCAAATGTGCCTTATACCTGCAACGAATGAACCCGAATGATGAAGAGGTGATCGAAACTTTGCGCCGATTGAATGAAAAAATACAAAAACTATCCCAAGAGGCAAATTCAACTGAAAATCGTATGAAAAAGACGCTGCAATATTTAAAAGATGAAACCGAAGATGACGATAAACGTATTGGTGCTGCCAATAATCTCATCGCTTTAGTTCGGGAAAATAGTGGCCGACAATTGTTTATCGAACAGAAGGGATTTGATTTGCTTGTCTCGTTGCTGAAGAACAACAAAGTATTGTACGATATTCGTCTGGCTTTGGTACGTGTTTTGACTCAGATTATTGATTCCAGTATAGAATTAGCTAAGCTTGTATATTCAAACATTGGAATCGATTTCCTAATTGATATAATGTCGCAACAAAAAAATGATGAATTCCTCATTGCATCTCAAAGTGCCATACAAAGTTTGCTCACACAATTCAGCGGTTTCAGTGCCAAAGATAATCAAAAAATTGACCAAGAAAGAGCAAAAAAGTATGAACAACAAATTGATACAATAATGGCATCATTGTTACAACGGATTAATCAACGTACTATGACGGCTAAATGTCGTGATTGTCTACTTGAATTATTAATGGTCAATATCGATCCTGACGCCATCGATTGGGGTAAAAAATTAATTAAAGGAGATGGCCTATCGAAACTATTGGAAGTTGCCAGCGAATTAGTTGAAATTCGTTATGAAAGCAGTATGCCGATCACTGTCGATACACGAACACATGTTGCATTAGTATTGGAAAAAATATACATTTGTATGAATTGTGACAAATCACGAGATGAATTTCGTACAAAAACGATGGAATTTTTGAATGATCATCTTCGAGGTCCGGATATTGAAAGTAAAGTTCGTGCAACAGCCGCTATTACGGCTCTTTTAAATGGTCCCATCGATGCTGGCAATCATTGTCTGTCACAAGCTGGTATTGTAGAAATGATGCTTGCTATGGCTAATTCTGGTGATGTTGTTCAACAATGTGTTGCTGCTGAAGCTTTAATTGCTGCTACAGTTAAAAAAGATAAAAGCGAAACTATTGCACGTGAGGGAATGGGCATCCTAAAGGCATTATTCCGATCGGATAATCCGAAAATTAAAGTTAGAGCTTTAGTTGGTCTTTGTAAACTTGGTTCAGTTGGTGGTACTGATGCATCTACACGTGTAATATCGGATGAATCAACTATGGAGCTTTATAAAGCTTGTTGTGATCTCTTGAAAATCGGCGATAATTCTACTGATCATAATCAAAACAAATCAGAAGATATACGCAAATGGGCTGCTGAAGGTATAGCGTATCTTTCGTTGAATGCCGATGTTAAGGAAGCATTATGTAAAGATCCGAAACCATTGGAACAATTGATCGAACTTGGCAAAAGTGGTGAATTATCCTGCCTTTTCGGTGTCATAACAACATTTGTCAATCTAACTAATAGTTATGAAAAGCAAGAAGTAATCCCGGAAATGATTGAATTGGCTAAATTTGCTAAACAACATGTGCCAGAAGAGCACGCATTGGATGCTAAACAATATGTTGATGTTCGTTGTAAAGTTTTGGCCGAGCATCATGTTACCTCGGCATTAGTTGCCTTATCAAAAACTCAAGCCAAAACTAGTCGCGAAATGATTTGTCGAGTGTTTAATGCCATCTGTGAACATGTTAATCTTCGTGGTTATGTCGTCCAAGAAGGTGGTGTTCGTGTATTGATTCGTTTAGCTTTGGAAAATAATACGTTGACTGGGAAACGTCTTGCCGCACAAGCGATGGCACGAATAGCTATCACCAATGATCCAAGTCTAGTGTTTCCAGGACAAAGAGTAATTGAAGTTGTTGGACCGATCATGGAACTTTTGCATCCGGAATGCAGTGCCTTACAAAATTTCGAGGCATTAATGGCACTTACAAATCTTGCACAAATGAGTGTTCAATTACGGAGTCGTATTATTAAGGATGGTGGTTTTAGTCGTATCGAACAATACCTCTATGAAGATCATCAAATGCTCAAAAGATCCGCCGCACAATGCATTGCAAATCTAATTCTTGCCGATTCTGTTGTGAAATTATTCGAAGGTGATAATGATCGTATCAAATATTTCGTTATTCTTTGTGGTGATGAAGATCTGGATACCGCATCTGCTGCAGCTGGTGCCCTAGCAATGCTAACATCTATTTCCAAGAAATCATGTCAAAAGATTCTCGACTCGAAAGATTGGCAGCAGTATTTGATGCAATTAATTTCAAGCAAGTACCCGGAATTACAACATCGTGGAGTCGTTATCGTACATAATATGATTTCATCAAATGGTGATTGTGCAAGAAAGATTATCGAGTGTCCAATATTGGAATGTCTAATGGCTATTACACAACCCGGTATTATCGAAACAACCGATACGGTCAAAGAAATCGCTAAAGCATCACTGAAACGTGCCGAACAGCTGAAATTAATCAAACACGTTGAAGATATGAAGATACAGCAAGAAGACAGCGAAGACTTGGAACGTGAAATTTAATATTCACCAAAAAAATATTTATTTAATTTTTTTTATTAATTTTTAAGGTTTACAATTTTTATTACAATAAAATGATTTATTATATGATATAATCATCAGTGTATAAAAAATTCATTTATTGATTTATTTAAAATTTTCAAAATCAAATGAACAATTACAATTAGTTAAAATAGTCTCGATCTTTTTGCCAAAGATCAACCAAAATTGTTTCGATGTTTACTTGATCATTGGAAAAATGTTCTTGAAATGAACTGATCAATCCTTCGGGGCTTGATTCGAATGATTTCAATCCAACATTATCAGAATCAAGTTGGGTTGATGATTCAACAAACAAACGTCGGGGTTTTTTTCTATCGATAACAATATCACGGAAACGCAAATAAGGATATTCTAGATCATCGTTAACGGCTGAATAATAATCAAACATTTTCTGAGCACTTTCATTATCGCCAGTTGATTTATAAATCTGTAGTTTCAATAGAAAATCACCAATAGCTTTACGACCTTTAGTTTCAATTAATTTATGATCTCGAGTAAAATTAATTAATAAATCTGGTTTTCCATCAGTTGGTGATTGTTCGATTTGATCGATGGATACCATTTCTTTGGCTGATTCCAACAACACACGTGTGATTACGTAACGGGCTTGTGAATGTGCTTGAAGCCATTTTTTCACAGACGGATTGTACATTTTAAGACTTTCGATACCTTTTTGTACCATTTCTAACCATGCAACATAAACAGCATTATGTGCCTCTTGTTGATCATTGAATCCAAATATAGTCAATACGTCAGAATTTAATGATAGATAAAGACCAACACATTCAGCTCGACATTCTTCATAAGCTGAACTTACAGCACCAAATTTACCATCATATGATTCACCATGTTCATACCATTTATTCACCGGTTTTCCAGTTAATGGATTAATTGTTTTGTTTTGATCAAAATTTAGTTTGCCATCTTTATCAGCTCTGAATAATTTGCCACTGCCATGACCCAACAATTCATGAAGTCCAACGATTATTTCAAAAGATGCTACACGATATTTATCCAACAATTTAGCATCATCATCGTTCAAAAAATTTGGTTTGGTGGCTTTTAATGAAGCAGTAATAACATTACCCAATGATACATTTTTAAAGCCTTCGTTTTGTTTGATTTCATTATAATTAGGAATGTTGATACCTGCAGGCACACCAGAACCAGAAAACGTAAGAATATCAAGCGAAGTAAAATCTGGTTGAAGAAATCGATCCATTTCAAATTCTTTAGGCCAAGGTAACAATGGCAATAATTGCGAAGCATTGTCAACTAATGAAGTGAATTTTTTCGACATTTCTTTATTGACAATGGCAACAAAACCTTCGAATTCAGCACGTTGACCAGCCGGATCACGATATGTTTCAATGAAACCAATATATGTTTCGACAATAGGCTTTTTATCTTTTATCCAATGTCGTGAACCTTCTTTGTGTGCGTCTAAAGAGCCAGAACGAAAATGTCGTACGTACTCTTCTACCATTTTACGTTCAGTTTGATTTTGGGCACAATCACCAGCTTTGATAAGATTTTCATTGACCAAAGAGAGAATAGGTGAATAATCACCTCGTTCAAGTCGAAAACTATGTCCATCCATTTCTAACTGGCTAACCTTATTAATGTAATCACGTTCTTCTGGATCTGAAGATGATCGAATTGATGCAAACCGAATAACATATTGACCGGTTTTAGGATCTTTTAAAGCTCTTGTATTATAGGCTTCAATATCGTTAATGGTCAAGAATTTTTTCACGATTTTCTCATCTTCTTCGGTCATATTTTTCGACCAATAAGTGGTTGTACCATCCGGTTGAAATCCCAATGACAATTCATCTGGATTTAATGAGAATATTTTGTCACATACATTGTTCCAAACAAGTTCCATAAATTTGGGATCTTTCTGATAAGCTTGAGAAGATTTGATCAAACGGTCAAGCTTATTTTTCGATACATTCGGGATAAACTTTGAATCGCCAAATCCACGATAGTTGCCCATGTTCGAATAAAAGGCAGCAACATAGATCAAGAATGAACGCCAATCTTCTTCGCTGAATTCACATTTTTCCATAGCGACTGATTTGAGCTGATCGAAAGATTCCATTGCGAAAAGTCGTCGAAACAAAGCAAAAATCAGAGGCGATTCTGGTGAGGTTTGATACAAAACAGCCAACGATCCAAACCAGGATGCTTTCGAAAGATAATGAGCATATTTTTTCTCACCAACTGTCAAAGCTTCAAAAGCACTAGTTGCTTCCAGTTGTATAACTATGAAAAAGTTTGAAAAAGAAATATTTTTAATCATTAAAAAAAAATTAAAAGATTAGAATTACCTGGTGTATCATTGGTATAAATGTATTCAGAAGATTTCTGTGTCGAAGCCATAGTAAACGATGACGAACGAAAATTACGATGGTAAATTATATTTTTCAAAAACAAATTATTTGACAAAATTTTGTCACTTTTATATGCAAATTTATTATTGCTGTTGTTGATAGAAGTCGATGAAAAAAATTTATTAGTTTTAAATGATCCTTGTTTATCCAAAAATTTCCCTACGATTTTATAACGATTATAAAATGTTTCAGTGATACCATAAATCAATGATGATTTTGATAACTAATAAAAAGAAGAAAAAAAAATATATGAAAAACGAATAAATTTATTTATTGAAAAATAAAACAACAACATGAGATTTGTTTTTCGGGTGTGAGTGTGTGAACAAGATGATTTGTCGCTAATCATGCCATATAATTATTATTCAACAATATGATTGAACTTTAATCAAAAAAAAAAAAAAAAATTAGCTGATTGTTTAGCAATGTACATGCATGTGTTTTGATATCGTATTGAATGACCATCACCATTTATTGTTTACATTGATCAATCATAAATACATACTGCGATACATTTAATTATTTTTACCTTAAATTTGTTTTGTTTAGTCTTTTTTTCTGAATAATTTACCAACCATTTATGAAATTTTTTTTAAAAAACGATGATGATTTAGATAATGTCTGTGGCAAATATTAATCACACGTAATATAAATTGTCATAAAATATTTTTTTTTAAAGAGCAAAATGAAATATCATTGTGAAAAAAAAACATGTGGCATCATAAAGGCAATCGATAATTCGATACTATCGATAGTTTTTTGCTAGCTTCCAATTTGAAAGATTTTTTTAAATTCCTGATTCCTTTTATTTAATTAATTAAAAAACAAATTAAATTTACACAAATTTGACTATTAATTAGTTATTTTGTTGATAATAATAGGACGAGCACTGTGAAGACCATATGTCAATCCTATATCTGGTTCATGCCAGATTGCCATATAATCTGCGAGTTTACAACCATCGAAAAAAAGTGACCGAAATTTAAAATTCATTGCAATCGAGATATGTTTATCGTTTTGAGCTAATGGTCGACAATCTACAATCATGTTTATTAATTGACAATGACCAGGTGGAATTAGATCATCAGTTTGTAATGATCCTCGACTTGTTGTCATCATTGAATCCGTATAGTTTGAGAGTTTTAAAGGTGAAATTCGGACTGATGACAAGCAATCATTAGCAGATTTTTCCATACTTGTTGTAGGACGACCTTCAAGTACATGATGATCGTTTGTTAATTCTTCATCATTCGATGATGATGATGATTTATTTTTCCATCTTGCTTTCATCGAAACTTGTATCCATTGCTGTGTATGTCGATTTTCGACCAATGATACTAATCCGGGAAATTTTCGATTCAAATGATATGTAACAATTTGTCCTTTCTGTTTGAAGAATATTCTGGTGATATTTTTTCATAAGAAATATGCTTTCAAAGTACAAACCTCATATGGCCGACCACAAGCTAGAACATAGTGAATTATTAAATCACCTCTAAGAGCGGAATTCGGTTCGAACATTCTAAATCGAAGTGGTCGTGATGAATGAATTCGTAGTACATTGTTGGAATTGAATGTTGAATTTCCATCGAAAGCAAATGCAGCTAATAAATAGCGTCGACCTTGTTGAAGTTCAGTTTCACATGTGATTGATGAATGCATCGTTCCAACCGAAGCTGAAACAAATGGACCAAGCACATGACTAGTTTGATTAGCCAACAATTCATATATAAGAATTAAGGAGGATGAAACATTTTGATGATGATTTCCTTGTTTTGTTGTATAAAATGAACACATCACTTGTGAATGAGAAGAAATTTCATCACTTTCGACGATAATCTCGAATACTTGACCAACATGATCTTCAAATGATAAGGCAAAATCACAATCAAATGAATATTGATACCAATGTGGTAATGTTTTGCAAACTACTAAATCTTGAAAATATTGACATAGATCATCGAACGATATCCAAAATATACCATCTTCAGCGCAACCTTTTGTTTTCAATCGATTAACTAATTTTGTTGTCCATAATGAACTATTTTCGGACCAATCACCATTCCATACAATTGTTCCCCAAGGATTTCGTAATCTATCAATTGGATAAAAATGATAATCATGTTATTATTATGTAGATTATGTTGTGTGTTGTGAGGATAACTAACTTGACTAAACGTAGATTTCCAATTGAAACAATGTTGAGAATTGAATAGGCATGATTCAATAACAAACCTAATTGTTTGTATTGTTCTTCTTGTTGATAACGTTTTTGTTGCTGTTGGTTATCATAACCATTACGACCACAAGATGCTGTCATCAAGAATCCTGTTGAATAAAAGCTGAGTATTTTGAGCCAAAATTCCGTAATCAATAATGAATCCGATTGATGATTAGTATAGGGTAATGAGAATACTTGACAAGGATAACCGGTTAATGAAGTTAAACCAAGACTAGTATGGCCACCTATTAATCGATGATATCCACCTAATTGTTTAGCCATTGCTTTTTCAATTAACGGAACAAATAATTGATTTCGTTTTGTTTCGGAAAAAACTAAATGACCATAACGATCACAAGGAAGCCAATCATCAACAATAATTGAATGCCATCGACCATTTAAAAATAATCGTATATGACAATGAGAATATTGTTCAAATTCGGATGAAGTTGTTTGAATTATATTATTGAGTAAATATTTATGTTGAACAATCAATGTTAATGCCGATAATAGCCAACAATTTCCTAAAAGACCTTGAATAATATCCGATGGTTTGGGATCTGATTGAATTAATATCCATTTATCGGTATTTTTATCATCATCATTATTTTGTTGATTAAAACGACGCCATTTGTCAATGTGTTTTGATAATGTTTTATCAACGATTGATAAAATAATTGAATCATTTGTAATATACAAATGAGAATTTTCGAAAGACTTTCTATTATAAAAAAATTAATCAGATTATTAAATAATTTCTTTTTAATAAAATTTTTTATAAATTATTATTACCTGTTTATCACGGTGGATGATAATTCAACATTTTGATTATCATTCAAATGATTATCACAATTGTTGTTGTTGTTGTTATTTGTGGCCATCAATATTTGAATAAATCAATTCCCAATAAATATAGATCATATAAATAAAGATCTTTTTTGTATAATGGCCTAATTTTTACCGCGGTAATACAATAGGTAAATAAATATCCAATTTTTTCTGTTGTTGATATAACACGGATTAACCAAAGAAAGAAAAATCAACAAAAAATGTTTAACAAAAAAAAGCACTCTTTTTTAAAAAAAAAATTTTTTGGAGTATTTTTTTTTTTGAAAATTACGATTTAGGTTATTACATCAAATACAGAAAACAATTGACAATTGTTATGACGACCCGACAAACAAACAAGAAATGTCATTATATCTCAGCGATCGATGATTACAATTTTATATGATGCGACATTTTTATTTTTTATATTTATAAAAAGAATTGTAAAAAGATTTTATTTATAATAAAAAAAATTCTTCCTGAAAAAAATTTATTATTAGTTAGTTAGTTTGTTTGTTTGTTTGTAATGACTTGACATATATCATGTTCTTTATCTATTCAGTTAAATTCAGATTAAAGGCAAATGTACGGTGGGCCAATGACGCCACAATTTATACATGTTAGAATAAAATCATCAAAACATGGTTCACAATAAATCAAACGACAATATGATGTTGAACAAAAATAATATGGTTTTTTAATAAAACAATGACATATAAAACATTGTTTTTTATTAAAACCAAATAATCCTTTTATATAATAACATATACGTGATATTAATCTTTTTTTTAAAATTTTAGGATCAATATCATATTTATGAATTGAATCCAATGGTTTATCAAATAAACGATTAGCCATAATCATTTTTTCCACTTGTTTACGTCGAAATCTTAAGAATCGTTTACGATTTCTTAATTTTTGATTATAAAGATAAATAACTCTTTGTTTACCATAACGATAATAGAAAAAATCACAAATAAAATGTCGAAATCGTATAAAATGAATGGATAATAAATACATTAAAATCAATAATATATAATCGATCATAATGCTTTGATATTGTGGCAAACCTAATTGATTTTTATTAAATTGTCTACAAGTATGCCAATCTTGACGAAATAATTCTGTATAATTGAAATGTAATTTTTTCATAAGACCATTGATAACTTTAGCAAAAAAACTGCCAGTAGCTTCACCATGAAATCGATGAACCATTATATTAATATGATCACTAACCGATAATTTGGATGATATTGTATTAATACAATCAGTAAAAACGAAATCGATAAAAAGTAAAAACAAAAATACAATAAATGTTATAATTAAGGCTCTCTTTTGAAAAACAAAATAAGCTGCATTTTCATAGACACTTTTTTTCAAACCAAATGTTGGTATTAGTTGCCAACGATCATTACCTCGTAATGGTAACAAATGAATTTTGTTCATTGCTTTACGTTTGTAATCAATATGATAAAAATATCGATCAATATAATGATTGTCAAAATTAATATGTTTAAGATAATTATTATGATAAAAAATGGCTCGAAGCGCTGCCGCTATTAATGATACAAGAAATACTACACGAGCAATAAATCCAACAATTCCTACCCATTCAAATTCACTAAGAAATTCTTCTTCTAAATCCATTCGATATCCAACCAATGATTGTAACATATCTAATGTTTCGCTAATTTGTTCATAATTTTGACCAGATTGCATCATTTCAATAGAATCATAAAGATTGATTTGTCCAAATTGTTTGGTATAATTATCAAAATGTTTTAATGGATCAATAATTTGTTCACATAAATCACTGCCAAGATTATTCAATGCAGCGTAACAAGCATTATAAACTTGATTGTAAATTTGTCTAGAAAAAATGTTACTATTGGCATATAAATCTTCAAGAGTTTTACTACAAAAATCATCCTTATTGAATGGTTCAACAAGTGTTAGACAATATTGTCTCAAATCATTCGTATCAATCCGAAACGATTGAAATGAATCACTAAGATTTTTTCTAACGATATCTGAATCTAATAATTCTTTTGCTGTAAATACTTTTGATGAATCTGTAAACAAATTAATGAGTGGACGGAAAGCTAATCGAAACATAGCTCTTTGCCTCGTATGATCTTTAATTATTCAACAAAAAAAAACAAATTAGAATTTTTTAAAATGTAAAATTGAAAAAAAATACTCACGATAATTAAGTAGACAGGCCATTATATTCCATAATGATCGAATATTTCCAAATATTGATGGTATTAATATTTTCAATGCTCGTTGTATAAAACGTATATAGAAAAATATACCATTTGATGTGACTACCAATGATGGTAATAATAAACAAATAACTGTACGAAATTGTATTGAAAAAACAAAACCAGTGATCATCATTAATAATCCCCATTTATGTATGAATAAACGATCTTTATCATATTTGTCTGATTCATCGGGTAAATCGACACATAAAACTAATAATAATTTACAAATAAAATAACCACCAAATAAATTGAATAAATTTCGAAGTAGAATATATTCATCCGGTGGACAACGATATAATATTCGATGTATTGTTGGTAATTCTTTTTTGATACGCATTTCAACATATTCCAATATACGAATTATAAATACATCAAAATTGACCGATTTTGGTTTTGTTTTAACCCAAGGCATTATTATGGTAGTCAATGATAATTTGTTTATGAAAAATGATTCATGGTAGTTTTTATATTCATCAAAAGAATTCGGCAATTAGAATTGTTTTTGTTTTTCGGAATGAAATTCGGTTGATGGATAAAAATCCGGTCTATTCTGTGGCGACATCTATTTTTTGAAATTTAAAATGTTTTTTTTTCCAAAATATCAAACAATAATTATTGGCGGAAAAGTATCCGGAAATTTTTTTTTATTGACCAAAAAAAAAACTAAACTTTCCAAATTAGATATCAAACATTGAAGTGATCCAGATGGTACGAATCATGGTGATTTTAATCTTTTGAAATCTCCTTGGGGCCAAAAATTGAGAGAAAACGAAGAAAAAAATCGAATAGAAAATCGATACAATTCTTATTATTTGAAGAAGAAGAGGAGAAAAAAAAATCAATAAATGGTTCGCGAATTATTATTATCCTCTTTTTTTCTTCGAGAGAGAGAGAAAAAAATCGAAAAACCCAATGATGTTTGAATAAACGAAATCAAGCCTTATTTTTTTTTGATGAAAAAAAACTTGATCAAAAGAAGAAGAAGAGTATAAACGAATAAAGAATGACCAAACAAACAAACAAAACCGGACAAAAATCGAATAAAGAAAAGAAAAAAAAGATGCTTTCGAGAGAAAAGAAAAAAAAGATTGTTTGATCATCATCATCATCATTTTTGATCTTCGATTCGAAAAGGCAGGACCAACCATCCAACTAGCCGGCTATTCTGGATAAATTAATTGCTTATTTCATTTCTATTCTTTCATTATTCACATAACTTTTTGTTGTTGTTGTTGTTGCAAAGAATATTTATTCATTCTACACACATGAGTCAAGGAAAAAGAAAAGAAAAAGAAAAAAAATGATAACTCAATATAATTCATTGCGCATTGATTGTCATGTGGGCGTCATTTTTGGTCATTGGTGAACAAAAACAACAACAAATGATCTTTTCTTTGTTTAATTGGATTCTTTTTTCTTTTCAAATGGATTCCTTTTTCTTTTCGGTTTTTATTCTGTTTGTTTTGACTATTTTTGAAAGTCAAAACAAACAAAAAATCCTATTCAAACTCATGTCATCATCATAATGTCGCTATAGGAATTGTGAACTTTAAGCGAAAACAAGAGAGAGAGAGAGGGGGGAAGTAAACAATGAATGAATCCATTGGAAAAAGAAAACAGGAGCCAAAAATAAAAACCACAAACATATAAATGTGATATCCCCGAATTAAAAACAACAACAACAACAAAAAAAAACTGTATACGTGATCTGAAGTGATAATTTCAAAAAAGTGACAACCAAACTAACAACAACAACAACAATGACCACCAATTGATAATGATGATGGCTCCCGTTGCAAACAATGACAATCGAATTTGAAGTAGTTTGATGTAAACAAATGTTCGTTTATATTTGAAATAAATAAATGGTGATGTTTTTTATTTTATTATTTCATTTATATAGTTGACAAGGATGATCAGGACCGTCTCACTCGTCCAAATTTTGATTGCCCGAACGGATATATCTCGAAGAAGAAGATGATGATGACCAAATGTCAATTGATGATGATTTTCGGGGGCCGGGGATTTCATTTTATTATGTGAAAGCTTTATTTAGTTAAATGTTCTAAATTTAGTATATATATGTGTGTGGATATTCTGTATTCTGGTGTAAACGAAACACAATCGATGGTTTGTACGTGCATACATTAAACATCCACAATTCATTCATTATCCCAATGATAAAAACAATGACCAACAACAGCAACAACAGCAAATAAAGCAACCCAAAGGCAATTTCTATATGTGTGCGATTCAATTCCTTTAAATAGGATGTTACCATCAATAATAATAATACCAAACGAATTTCCTATTCTTTTTTCTTCTGGTTTTAATGCAATAATATCTATTATTGAATATATTTACAAGAAACAAAAACAAACAAAACTGGCAAACTGGACAATTTGATCAATGATCTTTTCATTTCATTAATATCATTAAGCGTAGCAGCAGCAAAAGAAAATGATAAAATTTTGATGACAAATTCTCTATTTATATATAATCTCTATGGCCAAAAACCCATAGACCATCAACAAATGAATTCTTATTATTATTATTTTCATTATTGTATTTCTTTCCATATTCTCTCTCCATGTCTATCATGACAATATAAATTCATTAATAACATTTGCTATGCCCTAATACAGATCGTTATAAATTCAAACACCAAAAAAAAGTAACAAGCTAAGAATCGACGAAAAATTTCTTTTTGTTTTTCCGAATCATTTACTTATTAAATTCATACACACTTTATTAAAGACAACAAAACGCATATTCTTTGCTTTTGGTTTCTTTGCTATTAATATCATTATTATCGAATGCTGCTGCTGTTATTAATAATATTATTATTTGGCGTCTATTATATAACCCAAAAGCCAAGCCAAACCAGAAAGTGCCAAAGTGAATTATTAATTTAATTAAAAATAGTAGTCATCCAAAACAAACTACTACTAATATAAGAAACAATTGAATAAATAGTAGACGATAACGACAACGACGATGAAATAGTTTGGATTTTCGAAGGGGAAAAGAAATGAAAAAATGTTTCCAAGGTAATGACCATAAGACGGATTCCTGAAAAAATATAATTAAAATTTTCTATAAAATTTTCAAACTTATTTTTTTATTCAATTTAATGATGTCATTTTGTTTTGTTTGTAATCGGTAATAATAACAACAACAAAAATATTATCGTATTTTAATAACTTTTAAATAAGCAAATCTGCTATGTGTGTGTGTGTTTGTAATGTTGTTTTTTTTTGGGGGTTGGATACAATCGACAAATGGTGCAATTGTAAAAAATCCTTTCTCTGTTTGTTGTTAAAGAAAATGACAAATAATTTAAAACGGATTTTTAGTGATAATTTGATGTTAGTGTTTCTTCTTCTTAATTAACAATTTAATGATGAAAATGTTTTTTATATTTACAGATGATGATTTATGCAATAATCAATGATGATAATAATGATGATGATGATTACTACAGATGCCACGTATAAACAATAAAATTTTCATCAATCCAATAATGATAATTATGCCATGTTGTAATTAATATTATTAAAAACCATAATAATGTAATCGATGAATTACAATGATGATGATTATTAATGGCATTATTGCCTATAGAAGATGTATAAAAATTCCAAAAATCTTTTTATTTAAAACATTGATATAAAATAGAAGAAGAAATAAACAAAATTGATCATTTCAAATTCAAAATGATGAATGGAATAAGGTGAATGGAATAAAGTAAATAAAAGAATCGATAAAAACAAACTTACCCATAACAATCATTGATTTTTCAGCAGCAACCGTTTGAAATGTACCTTCAACACTAATTTCACATTTATAATTACCAGTTGTTTTTTTGTTCGTTTCACTGATTACTACATGACCACCTTCAGATTTATTTATCTGTGTAAAGCAAACAAAAAAACAAAAAATAAATCGAAAACTTTTCAATATTTAACTACAAAAAAGTCATACACATACATTAACATTAATACCATCTAATGGAAAAAATTGTTTATATGGTTTAATTGTTGGTGTATAACGAAAAAATTCTTGTTCATCCAAATCAGTATCATTTGTTCGATAAAACCATTTGAGCGAATAAAGTGATGCATTACCCAAATCATAAAGGCATGATAATTCAACTTCCGTTCCTTTTCTTACTTGACTTGGTACATTTAATGCAACCACTCGTACATCCGATAAACCTATACGTTTTTCATTTTTGTTTGATTTGGAAGAAAAAAAGAAAAAAAAAGAAAAATTATTGAGAAAAAAAATCCATTGAATTATAATAGTTATAATTCTTATTAGTTATTATCATTAGGCGTAAAATGGTAAAAATTAACCAATTTTTTTTTCGTTTTAATGAAACAAAAGAATATTGATGATGGCAATGGTGATGACCTAACTTATTTTGTTTCGGTACGTGTTTGGTCTGTTTTTGGAAAAAAATTTTCCCGCGTTTCGTTATTCTTCGTTATCATTAATCATAAAACATAAGGCAAACACAAAATGGAATCTTTTTTTTTTGTTCTGCTTTTGTTCATTGAATTTTTTTGACCCGTTTTTTTTTGTTCTAGTTTCGAAAGAAAGAAAAAGAAAGAATCGATCGAAAGACAAAGTGAAAGAGAAAAAAGTGAAACAAATGAAATAGCCAAAGTGATTAATCGAAATAAAATCAAGCCAACAACTTTTTTTCTGTTTCTGTTTCATCTTTCTCCAATCAAGATGATGATGTTGGTCGATTCAGAAAAGCCAAGAACCAAAGTATCACAAGAGGAGATTCCTCTTCACTCTCACTTCACTGCGATGTGATTTCGATCGACCAATATGTGATTCGGAATGTTTTGTTTTTTTCCCATTGACTTTTACTTTTCGGTACAAAGTTCTTTATGCAATCGGTCGATTGGTTTTTTTTTGTTTCTGGTAATTTGAAATTTTTCGTTGGTTGAAACTTCTCAAGTGGATTGGATACTTTTTTTTCGTTTTGTTGTTGTTTGGTGGTTGATTTTTTTTCCAAAAAAAAGATGTGCGTTTTATTATCGTTTGAATATCGCAAGAATCATCTCTAAATCAATGTTTCATCATCATCATCATCAAAACCATCATCCAAAATTGATTCTGTAATTCTGTATAATGTAGAATCTAAAAGTTTTCTTCTTTCATGGTTGGTGGCTACTACTAAACATTATTAGTAAAAAAAAAAGATGATGATTATGATGAAAAATAGTAACTAAGTAAATAGTTGACTTGGAATTATCATCATCTTCTTCGAGTGAAGAATAAAGAATATAAAAGTGTCCAATGTGAATGTTTTTTGTGGAAACAATTATGTTGTTGTTGTTGTTCACACTAGATATATCTGACTATCTGATCACTTCTATAAGAAAAAACTCTTGAAAAAAAAAGTCAATTTGTTTCGAATGAAGAATCTTTTTTTCCTTCAACAACAACATCTTTATCATCAACATTTTTCGACTTTGGAGTGTGTGTTTGGTTTGGTTTGGTTTCTGTGTTTTCTATTTGTGTGTATGTTTTCACATAATGCTTAGTCAAACATTTTCAATGTAAAGTTTGTCATCAAACATAATACACAAACAAACACAGTGAGTGAGAGAGAGAGAGAGAGAAAAAAAAACACTTATATACAGATGGACGATCCAAGTAAACAATCAAATCCAATACTATAGTGATCCATATAATCATCAACAACAACAACCAAAGAAAAAAAATAAGAAAAAAACGATTTGATGATAATGTTTTTTAAATGTTTACTTTATAATAATATCCAGATCATCATCATCATCATCGTTATCAATTGAATAGTTGTTATCGTTGTCATCGTTATCGTTGTTGTTGTTGTCATCATAGCTAATTGATCCATTTTTTCCCTTATAGAAATTTAAGATGCTACCAGCCTTAAAGAAAACAAGAAACTATATCTAATAATCATAATGTTTTTCTAATGGATTTCCGGAATCGTTTTTTGTACAACACACACACAAACAAACGGAAAAAATCAAAATACTTTTTTGGAAAGCAAACAGAAAATACGGTTTCTTTTTTTTTGCTTCTGTTCAGCATCTTGATGGCGAAAATCAATTAAAAGTATATTTATTGGATATTTAGCGGAATAAATTTTCATTATCACCTTTTTTTTGCATAAGAATTTGGTAAAAAAAAATACATTTAGTCGGTGGTGACTAAATTTCCCACTTTAACCATATTAGGTCCATAAATTAAATACCCCCAAAAAAAAGATATAAATAGCCATTTAATGTTAAAATAGTTGAAAATGGAAATTATCTTTGTACTTATCTGTAGTGAAAATAAAGTTTGAAGCGGAAGAAAAAAAATGAAGTGAAAAGAAATTGAGTCATTTTAAATCTCTCTATGTTTGATGATGTTGATGATAATAAAATAAATTCCAGAGAAAAAAACCTCATCCATTTAAATCAGTTTTAGTTTGTTCTTCTTCAACACATATTCGTGTTTCAGGAACAGACCAGAAAAAAAATAACGAAAAACTACATTCAAAGAAGTAAGAAACTACCATCTTGTCACCACCGCCACCACTACTAAACACCTTTGGTGATAGAAGTTTTTCAATTCGGTTTTTTGAAAATCAGTGCCAGAGAAAATATTCTCAAACAAAACATCACACAAAGTGAGTGTGAACGAAAAAAAAACTGCTAAAGACTGATAATAATAATAATAATAAAACGAATGGGTAGAAGAAAAAAAAACAATAACCATTTTAAACAACAACAACGAAGATGTGAAAACCATTTTCTTTTCAATTTAAAATTAAAATCATTTTCAAATTCGCATACACAATACGCCTTGTCAATGATGATGATGTTATATGAATTCATTCTAAAACAAGTGTAGTTTGTGTGTAAATAGTGTGTTTTGGAGAAAAAAAAGAAGCGAAAATAAAATATATATAATCTTTATTTATATTCACACAAACCGATAAAAATAAAAAAAACCTATGAACAATCCAACCAACCATCATCGAATAGTTAATGTTCCAAAAAAACAAAACAAAAAACAACAGTGAAAATGAAATAAATTTGGCAGAATAAATTTAAATGTCTCTCTCTGTGTTTCTGTGTGTGTATGATGCAGGGGTATTGTTTCATTAATGGCCAGTTTTGTTTTCCATGGACAATTCTAAAGCTGTTTTTCTGTTTTCTGTTTGTTGTTTCAAAGTTATCTCAAGAATTGTCAAGAATATTTCCATTTCGATTCTAGTTTTTTTTATTTTGGTGCAATGGATAACACACACACGTCAACACTTAATTCACACTACCACCCTTTTTTTTCTGCAAAAATAAAAAACAAGAGAAAATCATTTGAATGAGTTTTATATTCTTTCTTTCACTGTTTTTCATCCATTCTTCAATTCATCTAATGATTATGACACACACACATATATAAATTCACAATGATTGAAAATTCTGTCGATCATCATTGAAGCCAATGTTTTGCCAACAACAAACATTTTATGACTTGAATATTGTCTAAAACCGTGTGTGTGTATGTTTCAAAATGAATTTTTTCAATTTAAAAGTTTTTTTGTCTATTCTGTTTTTGTAACTAGAATTTATATGCTTTTTTTCCCCGTTTCGAAGATCTCCTTTCTTTTTCCATTCTTCCAAACAATTGTGATGCTACAAATGAAAATTGATGGGCCGCGAAGCAAAAAATTTTCAAATATTTAAAATTTAATTTACGAAATCATTCACGAATGTGTTCATTATATAAGATTATTTATGGCGATGATGATGATTATTATTATTTGAAAATTGAAATTTGAAATTAAATTAAATCAAAACGGGAAAAAAATGGTAAAAAATCACTGAATGTAGAAATAGGGAAAAGGAATCGTCTCGCTTTCTCACTATAGTCGTCGTTTTTTTGTTTGATTGCATAAACTTACCTTGAACAAAGAATAAATTCATCACAAATATTAAAATAATCAAATAGATCGAGGCTATCATCATATTTATTTGATTATTTATTTTTAGGCATTTTTTATTACAATACAATGTAGTGGAGGTGGTGGTAGTGGGGTTGGTGGCCATCATTATCCTATACATTATTCTTTTTATCGTCGTTATCACCATTGATGATGGTGATCTTATCATAGTCATTATTATGATTTGATTTTTATTTGATTTGATTTGATTTGATATCGAATTGAGTGAGTGGAAATGAAAATGAAATAAAGGTGACAAACAACAATGTGAAGACGATTCGGGTAGATATAGAATCGAATACAAACAAACAACGATGAAATAATCGGATTTTATTATTGTTTATTTTCCTTGAAGCTTTTTTTTTGAAGAGCAGCACAGCAACCAGAATAATTGAAGTGTAAAAAAATGAAAATAATAATCGGCCTATGATGATGATGATGATTAGAATTGAATAATTGTCCGGAAGAACAAAAAAATTTTTCACTGGTTTTTGTTTAGTTTTTCATTCATTCATTCAATTCAGTCACTCAATTTTGATTGATCCATTTAGTTGAATAGACGAAGAAGAAGATGGAAACGAAAAAGGCCATAGATACATAGATTATGTAGATGAAATCTTCATTAAATTATTAAAAATGAAATTTTCATTTTTAAAATTATGAAAATTTTCGCTGTTGTTGTTTTTTCCTGTTTTTAATAATTTTGGTAATAAATAGGTAGAAATAGCGGCAAATAGATAAAATGAGTTTGCGTTGTTCACTTTTTTTTTCTCAACTATTTTCACTTATGTATTCATTTTTTTCACTTTCTATTGATGCTTGTATGAATGTCAAAGGAATAATTTTCAAATGAATATCGATGATGGAACATGGTTTTTGTGTTTGTAGGGGGGTGTTGGTGGTGGTGGTGGACGTTGAAAAAAAGGCGAAAAAAAAAAATAAATTTGCAATGCAAAAAACAACAACAACGACTATAACAACAACATTTCCATTTTCATTTTCGATGTGTGTGTGTGTCTGTGTCAATGAATGTTGATCGTCGTTTTTATTTTTATTTTATTTGGTTGGACAATCTCCATTGATGATGACTTTGAAAATGAGAAAAGGAACGAAACGAAACGAAACCAAACGAAAAAAAAAGTTGGTTATTATTCGCTTCGATGCAACGATTATTCATAATACAAATGAATAGATAGTGAGATAGTTAGATAGATAGATAGATGGATGGATGGAAATAGACGACACAAAACATCACTTGATGAAAATTGAGAAATACAATAACACACACAGAGGACACAGTATCTATAGAATTTTATTTCGGTTGTTGGATCGTTGATATTTTTGGCTTCGTTTTTTGTTGTTGAATTTTATTTTGTCATTGATTAAATCGAGTGAAAATGAAAATGAAGAATTGTTTGATATATTCATTTCATTTCATTTCATTTGAATTCAATTCAGTTGATTGTAATAGCAAACAAACAATAACGAAATTTTAAATAATAACATGTGATTGAATGTAACTGATGGTGATGGATAATAATGTAAATGTAACTGGAAGAATGGATCACATTGTTGTTTTTGTTTCATTAATACAAAATGGTTCCATTTGATTTTGAATGAAATGTAGTATTATGTAATACAGATGTCCAATCTATAATATAAAGGATGATAAAATTAATCAAATTTTCATGTTTGTCCAATGAAATTGGTTAATTAATCAATGGAAACAACGAGGATATGCTGTTAAAATAGTCGGTATTTTTCATTACTTTTCGATGTGTGTGTGTGTGTGGGTGGAGAAATTCATCATCATCGTTGACCATGAATGACCACCACCAATGAGTGATCCATCGAATCAATAATAAACAACCAAACAAATTAATCAGTATAGCTTGGCCAGAAATGTATCCAATTTTGTGTGTGTGTGTTTCCTATTTTCACACACAATGGATCGATTTTTTCTTTTTCATTGGCAAATGAAAATGAAAATGAAAAAAAAATTAGGGCCAAACCAATTTATTCTTGTTATTGGTAGAGAGGGTCTCAACCTCTCATCATCATCATCATCAGTGGTCATTCAACAAACAACAACAACAACAACAATAAATCCAATAGACAATAGATCTATTGTTGCAGAATAAATAGATCGGAAAAATTTTCTTTTTTTTTCTTCTTCTTTTATCGAAATGAATAACTACTTTTGTTTATTCTACTCAACAACAACAACAACAATAACAAATATTACATGCAAGAGAATCATATATACGAAAATTCAAAGGGAAAAAACTGGTTATACATAGGATAGATAGATAGATAGATATCAAGATAATTCATTGATATTGTAATTATGCTTCGTTGATGATGATGATAAAAAAAGGTGGTTTGCCTGCCAAAGTGTTAATTTTTTCTAATTTTTTTTCTGCGGTTATTATGATTTTTTTTTGTAACATACCTTTTTTTGGAGAAAAAAATATGAATGGAATAACCACACAAAAAAAAAACTAAAAACGAAGAAAAAGAATTGGATGCTGTTGCTTGTTTTGGATATTGCGCAATAGAAACTGTCGATATTCATATGATTCTGTTCATTATGTACGAACCGATCGGATTCTCGATCCAAACTGACGCCAAAAACGAATGAATGAATTTCGATCCAACAATTTCAAACAATCTGGTTGTATGATGATGATTCTATCAGGGTAGTAGCAAATCGGACACCAACAAATACAATGGATTCAAAATGAACAGAATGAAAATTCTTTATGTACAGAATCAAATAGAAGAGCGGGAAAAGTGAAAGAAAAGAGATTGTATTTTGAAAGCATCTTTCAAAACAGCAGTCAAGTGGAACCGAAAAAAAATAATTCCATTCACACAATGCAATGGTCAGCAATAATTCGTTTGATGTGTTTTCGTTTTTTTTTTGAGCTCAATACCATTATAATAATAATATGACTATGACAACAACGTAGACAATATATTCGTTTGTTCGTACATTTTCACCAAAATATACGGTAAAAATGGAAAAAAAACCCAATTTTGACCTGTTTTGGAAAAAAATTAGACATGTAAAGTAAAATCATCAAAGACACGTGTTTCGGTTGTGGAATCCTGAATTTTCATTTTCGAAAAGAAATATCTAGTTACGTAATTTAATTTGGATATATCTTTGGATATTATGAATATAATTTTTTTTTCAAAAAAAAAAAAGACAAGCATCATGATATACAAATGATGATGATGATTACGTTGACACATATATATACATTAATGGCCAATAGTCACGTTCCGGTGATTTTGTCCATCATCAATGGTGAATAACAAACAAAAAAATGAAATAATAAAAAAATAAAATATAAATAAAGTGATTAGTTTTTGGATGAAACCATTATCATCATCATTGTCAATCATTGTTTAAGTAAATAAATTCGGATATTCGGTAAATTTTCATTTGTTTTTTGTTTGTATTTGGATCATTATCATTGATAATTTCGAAAGAAAAATGACACACAAACAAACAAAATTATTTACATCAAATTTCTATGGAAAGAAAGAAAGAATTTTTTGAATTATTGAAAAAAAATTCTTTGAAGAAGAATAATATTCATCAACAGCATCAACAAAATACTATTTGTCATTATTACCAACGACGATGAATAATCCACATAACATTTTCATTTTTTCGCGACTATAGTTTCCTTCGTCGATGTTATTATTGTTATTTTACCAAGCAATTTTTTTTCTGGTCTTGGTGGTGCAGCTACGTTAAGTGCTCAAAAAAAAAGCTTATAAACACAGAGATTTTTTTTCGTTGTTGAAGAAGAAAATTAGAGATGAGATGATTATGCATAAATGGATTCCTGACAATATCAAAAAAAAAGATGTGGAGTAAATTTTTTTTTATTTTTCTCAAAAATGATGTACTCACATCTTTTAACCATCTACTATCATCATCATTGCCAGCGATTGAGTGGTTTGGGTGTCCCAAGCTTTCTTTTGCTTTTTTCTTTCCTTCATTCTTCGTGCCCCATACACATCCAAAACATTAATCAAGGGAAGAAAAAAAGTGTGTAGTAAATGGCACTTTGAATGAATGAATGAATAATAAGAATCTTTCAAGAAATTCGAGTTTGAAATTTTTTCATTCCATTTTAAAAGATTCAGAATCACAATTATATACTGTCGTTTCTTTTCGTCTTGCTAGGTGGTTTTTAAGATTAAATTAAATTAATGTCGAGAGCGAATGAGAGAGGGAGAGAAAGAGAGAGAGAGAAAAATGATGTGCAATGTGACGAATTTGGCAGAAAGAAGATTCCGAAAATAATAATAATGATGATAATGACGATCTTGAGATGTCTAAAACATGGACCATCTTGATTCAAATTTTTTGAAAACAAAAACAAAAAAAATTCATTTTGAAAATTTTACCGTAATTTCTAAGAGGAAAAACTAAATAGGAAAATGAAGGAAAATTCACAAATGACGTAATGTTTTTTTTGTTTTTCATTACAATCTTGAAATTGATTGAATTGAAATTGAATAATGAAAGAAAAAAAGTTAAAAATTAAACAAATTCGATTGGAATAAAAGACAAAAACTAAAAAAAAAAAAGAATTTCATTGATGCGTAACTCTTGTTCATGTCATTTTGTCACTTCCTTTATCTTGTGTTTCGGGAAACAAACAGCAACAAACAAAAAAACAATTGAAAATTGTAAAGTCAAACTTGAAAACAAAAATTGAATAAAATGAAAGATCAATTTCCTGTATGTAGTAGTTGTTGTTGTCTTGCTTGTTGTTGTTGTTGCTAACAATTCTTCTTCTTTTCGTTTTGGGATTTCGTTTTCATTCTTTAATTCATTGCTTTTTTTTCTTGTTTTTAAAACAAAACAAAAAAACAACACTTCGATTTTCGATTTTTGACTTGAACAACAACATGTTTGGACCAAATAAACAAACAAACAGAAAAAAAATATCGACAAGGAATTGTCATTTCCTAATAATCATCATCATCATCTCGACAAGAAAAATCTTTCCTGTGTTTGTGTTTTGAAGAAGAAGAAGGAGAAGAAGAAGAAGCCACCAACCACCCGATCAACAGCAGTCAAAAGAATTGTTTTTTTCTGTTTTTCCTTCGTCGACACAATTGATTTCAGATGTTTTTTTTTCTGCTGAAGAGAAAAAAAAATTGAAAAATTTTAGCCAACAACACGAAACAACGGGAAAAAAATTCAATACCAATTTTCAAATGTTTTGAAAGAAAAAAACAGTGAAAATGGATAGATAGATTGACAAGAATCGACAAACAAACGATTGATGATATATATAGTGAAGGGAAAAAACCCGAATTACGAAATATAATCATTGAAAATCAACGAAAGAAAGTCGGAAATTGGATATTATTGTCCAGCGGTCGAAGAATCCAGATAGTTTGATTGTCGAATTTTTTCGTTTTTTCTTCTCTCAAGTATACTTTTTTTTCT